CAGCAAGGTCAGCCAATGATGCAGCAAGGTCAGCCAATGATGCAGCAAGGTCAGCCAATGATGCAGCAAGGTCAGCCAATGATGCAGCAAGGTCAACCAATGATACAGCCGGCTCACATGATACCAATGCAGTCCCAACCTTCCAACACTACGAACGTGGTAATGATTAACCAGCAATCTGCTGCCCCTACTGCCCCACGAGAGTGGAGTACGGGATTGTGTGGCTGCTGCGACGACTGTGGCACTTGTAAGTGTACGAACGTTCGTTCTGTGCTGTATTTTGCTTTTTGCCGAATGTGAAAATACAGAGGACAGCGCACAGGGCACAGGGTATAGGACACAAGGTAAAGGGCACAGAGAACAAGGTACGGGTAGGGTACAGGGTACGGGGTACGGGGGTACTGGGCTCAGGGCATAAGACACAGGAAACAGGGAATAAGGTACGGGTAGGGTACAGGGGGACGGGGGTATAGGCTATGGTACACGGGGTACAGAGAACAAGGTATGGGTAGGGTACGGGGGGTACAGGACATAAGGTAAGCTCGATTTGAGTTAAACTGTTTTAAAGCTGATCCATTCCTAACGAGTTTTTTCCCCCGTTGAAGGTTGTTATGCGATTTTCTGTGGAGGATTGTTGTTGGCTAACATTGCTGAACGTCTTGGAGAGGGCAGCTGCTTTGCCTTTTGTTGCCGCAATGCTCTCCTTAGCCTCAGGATAAAATTCAGAACAGAGCAAAACATCCAGGTATGAATGCAGCCTTACACTTTCCAGTTATATTGCAGTAAACCATTTTTGAATTAGTCAAATACCGCTGTGTTCCACACTCATTTACTCAGGGTTCGTCTCGAATCAGTGTTATTAAACTCATTAATAATTCATGAGGAAAACACAACAGAAATCACGACCGTGAAGAGTTTTGTAAATCTGATACAGAATCCTGTTCATAATTTGCATAGACTTTGAGTTGGATTTTCTTGGCCAAATTCATTTTAATTTTGAAAATTTTAGTGAAACACAAAGGAACTAACCTAGACGTTTGATAAGTAATCTACAGTATTCGTGTCCGTGTTGTATCCAATATGTATATCGGATAAAGGATTCACAACTTCAGCCGAATAAAAACACTTTGAAATTCCACAGAAACACTGAAACGCATGAATGGTTAAAAATAATTCCTTCTTATATACTATTAATTGAATTTCTTGTGTGTAAACATTAAAATCGTTTTTTTTTTTCCTTTTTTCCCCTTCCTTTCTTTTGTTAAACACAAACCCGCCCAGACTAGCTTAGCTATTTGTGGGTAGTGTATTTTATTTAACTATTGTAAATGATCTTTCCAAACGAAATCAACATTAACAAACTTTTTTACCCATACAGCGGCCATTTTGAATGCTATCGTTTTGTTCAAGTCATTATGGGATGCCGAGGGGGCAACTATTTGAAATTTTATAGACTACATAACTAACAGGGTGTCTTTTTATATAACGTCATGCTTTTGAAGGAGAAGTACATCCTTTCCCTCAGTAAAGAGTGACCTCTAAAATCCAATCGGGTCAATCCGGGCGCTCACAGATAGCCTACCTCAACTTGAGAACAAATACTTTAGACCAAATGGATCAGTAAACGTTTACAGGCATGGATCTAGGAAAGGTTTCATTGCCGTTGGTGCCCTAATTACAACTCAACATCTTACAAAATTGAAAAATCTAACAAACTTGTTTATTCGCTATAGGGTTCACTGTGGGATGACAACGTTGAAGTTAACTGTTGCTACTATTGCGTCCTCTGTCAGCTAGCGAGGGAGCTTGACCACGTTCAACGCATTCAAACACGCTAGCGTCACGTTACAAGATATTTGATTTATCGGGAAAAAAGGAGTTTATTATCAAATTTTTTAAAACGATAATAGTAAAATTCTAAAGTATCTTTGTGGAAGTTTTGAATGTGTCTAGCCTAATATATAATTAATAACGAGGCTGTTACTGACACACACTTCTTTGCGGTAAAAATGCATAGTTTCAAAAATGTATATCTTAATCAAGGGTAAACTTTACAAAACTCTACAAAACTTTGTAGTTTTACTCTGATAGTAGCTATGTGATGAATTTGATCGTAGTAATCTTCTTTTTCCGATAAATCAATTAGGGAGCGTAGCTGAGCGTCATAATGGTCAATTAGTGACTCATTAGTCCTGTACAGTGGATTCATGTACAGTCTTTATGTAGCGGCCTACTTCCGGTAGAGCACGTGATTGCCACGTGCCCGCGCGTGCCAGTAATTTTACTGACCTCAAGGGCACACAACACACAGTTGTGAACATTGTTTGAGTCCACATTAGTTTGAGTTCTTTAGAAGACTCACTGAAGTTACGCAGCAACAACAAGCTTTATTTCTTGCCTTTGAATTGGGATTCATGTGGATTTAGTGTAATTCATGCAGTAGAAGTTGAAATGTATGGATAATTCGCATGTAAAGGAAATAAATTCGTCAACTCAGTGAAATATGGTCTGAAATTGCCCATCACCTAGTTTATGGAAACTACACTTTGTATGATAGAGTTTTCATCTATGCGTTTTCGTAATCTGTCAATATTATATTCAATAGTTTCGTCTTATTTTGAAACCCTCGAAATAAAGTGCCGTTTGGTACATTAGGCTCAGCCCAAACGTCTAACTTCACAAGAGCCGAACCTAATGACATTAAAGAAGACCGCCCTGTTTTCCATTGTTTCAAGTAGGTTCGGCTCATGTGAAATTCGACGTTTGGGCTGAGCCTAAGAAACTATTATTTGGTTAACTTAACTAAACTAAAATATTACCTATCGTTTGCTATTAAATTAAAAAGCATTTTTCGAAGAAAAAGTTATGTTCATACTCAAAATATTATAAGATTAATGACTATGAGGTTTATATACCGCGGCTTTTCGGCTGGAAAGGTCTTTCTTTCTATTTTTTCCATAACTTAAAAATTTAGCTTAAAAATCTCATGATCTGACTCTGCTCTCGGAACTTTAAATTGGTTTTAATTTGTTTAAGTAAGTTTTACCTATTTCATGGAGTTGTGTACAAGAAATACATTTTTCTAAGGCCCCGTCCACACGTGTCCGGAAATTTTTTGTATCCGCAAATTTTTTTTTGCGGATACGGGTTGCGTTCACACGTGTCCGGAAATTTTTGTATCCGTATCCGGAAATTTTCGAAAACGGTCTCCAGAGTGGAAATTTTCGAATACGCTCCGAATACGGATACGTGTGGACGGTCGTATCCGCAAATTTTCGAATACGCTGACGTAAACACGATTTTGCGTATGCTCAATAAGGAAAACTACCCGTCAAAGGGACTAGGCACTAGCGTGCTTCAGGGTGGATCAAGAAATTTCCGGATACGTGTGGACAGCGAAAACGATCCGAATTTTCTAAGGCATGGGATAGACACGCATGCAACGCTCACACGCGGGGACAGAGGAAAGGAAGAAGGACCAGAAGAGCAAGAAAGCGGCGAGGAAGGAATAACTTACGAGAGGGTAGCCACTTATAATTGAAAAACCTGAAAACAACAAGCCAGGCCAACAGTCCCAATCATACACACGTTTGTATGGAAATTCAAAACGAGCCAGCTGGGCTCACGCACACAAAGGATTCTGCATGGTTCAAAAACAAACGTTCAATAAAATCACAGCACGAAATGTCAACATTTTTTCTTTATCAACACTTCAGTGCACAGCAATTTGAGGTATTTTGCTAAGCTAAGAAAAATCATGCTAATAAATATAAACTTTTAGCCTGTCCTGGATTTTATCGTGTAAGTTAAAAATTTATACGAAAAAAAGTCCACATAACTCGAAATTAATTATTGATAAAATTGATAAAATTGATAAAATTGATCAATTTTAAATCGAGCGCGCTGATGGCTGAACCCCTGATAACATATTCTGAAGAATATTCTTAATGTGTTTTTGGAAATGATAATTTTTAGCCCTTTGTTTAAGTTTTTCAAAACAACATTGATAATGAAGTTGATAGAGCTGAAACGGGGTTTTATTAGTTTCGAAAACAACTCTTTTTACCGAGGTAAGTTATTTTTGTCTAAAAACTTTTGCATGAATAGTATCGATTTTTACAATCTTTCGAAGAAAATGAACGACAACAACAACAACAACAAAAAAATTAAATAAAAAAATTTCTTAGTACTATGAAAAAATTTTTTTTGTTTTTTTTGTTTTTGTTTTTGTATTTTTTTATTAGTGAATTTGTGCTTATTTGGCGATATTGAAAAATACTAAGGGACTTTAAAATAATTTTCCGGAAACATTTTTCAATTGGCTTCAACCATAGTAGATGTGTCTTCGAAAAATATACTGTTCAAATATTTGTTTTGGTAACATTTGTAACCTTGAGTTTTAACGAGTTTGTAGCCGCAGAAAACAGGTGTTTACAATTTTCTAAAAGTCGTCATAAATCTATCTATATATATAGATATTCGTGACTTTAACTTTCTTATTTACAAAGTTTATACCTTACTCTCGTTGTTACGAGTAAACAAGTTTTCTAGTGTTTCTTACTCATTGATCGAGAAATTTCAACCCACATCTATTTATGAATTAAAAATGCATAGTTTTTTAAGAAGCATTTCCAAAATATGCCTTTTCATTCTGGCTTATGGTTCCATCATTTGAAAAACTTCTTTGGCGGGTAACTTATTCAAGTTTTAGAAGTGATTTAAAATATATACAACACGTAGAATATTTGTGCCATCTTAGCCGATATTTCTTTTGAGAACTAAAACTGAAACACTATAGCTCTTCGAGCAAACCGAAACAGGTTTTTAGGAAAGACGTTTGATGAGATAATTTTCAAGGTTATCATTCTCTGCTCGAAATTTTAAATTACCAAATTATCACGCATTTAAAACAGGCTTTTTATACCATGATTTTTCTATGTTTTCTAGAAATTCGCTTGAATTCTGTTTAAACAACTAGTAGCTACACGATTATGGATTCCAATATATTTGCTAATTAGAGGCAAATAATTAGGTTGCCAGAGTTTTCGAATCAGAAAAGTGCTGAAATTAAAATTACTGAAGAAGGGCTAGTTATCAACTCAAGCATGTTAAGGCCTGGGTTATGAACCAATTCTCTATCAAACCATTAAAAAATCATTTCTCTGGTGTTTTTGCTTAAAGTATAACCAGCTTTCTCAAACTTCCTTAGATCGTGGTTCTTTACAAATTGATTCCAATAAATGGGAAAAATTTAGGTCACGTGACCACGAAATTTACTTAAAATTTACATAAAAATTCATTTTAATAGTAGGTGCTCAATTTAAGTCTTTGCTGAACGTTTTCAACCTCAATTTATTTCTTTTCCTGAAGTCGTTCAATTGACGTTGAGAATGGTTGGCTAAAGTTTTGTGTTAAGGAGATATTTTACAAAATAGGTCACGTGACCTGTCAAAATAACCTTTATGCCCATTTTTCTCCTTTCGTAAACATTTTGGTCGACCATTCCAAACGTGAATATCTGTATCATTGTTGCTACTTTCAAACAAGCTAAAGAAATCTCACAAACAATCTAAAACCATCACCTAGTTTTTAATTTAGCATTTTCCCTCTTTTAAGATCACGTGACCACCTTTTATGCAAATTTATCCATCCAAAATGTTAAGCACCCCAAATAAGGATATCTGTTGCAATCTCATTCAATTACATCTAGAAATGAGGATTCTACAGTGAAAAGTAATTTTTGCCCTTTTGAACAAAATCCCAGGCCTTAACATGCTTGAGAACGCGGTGAACTTGAACTTATAGAAGAAGTGGAACTATAAAACAACCAAAAGGTACGAGAGAAGAGAAAGACATGATAACTATTAATGACAATATACTAATGTGACTGCTTACTATTGAAAAATTCCATGAAAAGTTATTTTAAAAATCTCATGCTCGACTTTTTTTGTCTAGAAGAAGTCCCAATAAAAATGTACACTTTTCCTACGAGTAAAATCCATGACATATTTTAAAAACTTTTTAAAAAGTTTCGTTTTTAAATGTCTTTCGAAAATTTGAGGGGAAAAGGCAGTTCGGGAAGTTAGTTTTGAAGGTTGTCATGGCAATTCAGTGTAATTTAAGCACGAGCACGTTCGCGGGCTCAAAATGAACGTTCTATAGTAGAAAATTTGTTGTTAATTTTTAGCAAGGCATATTTTTTTTCACCGCTGACTTGGAATAACTGAACAATAATAACAATGCAAGACCAGGCACAACAACAACAGCCACCGCCACAGCCAGTTGTCACCGTTCAACCCGAAGTTAATCAGGGCCATACAAATGCTGGCTTTCCACAAGGCTCAAATACAACCACTAGTACAGTGGTCATGATCAATCAGCCTGTAGTTGCGCCAGCTGTGGCACCAAGGCAGTGGAGTTCGGGACTTTTTGGATGTTTTGATGACTTTAGCTCTTGTGAGTAAAATGCTAAGTACAGTGACTTGCCAAACCATACGTAATCGTGTACGCAATCGTGTAATGTTCGTGAAACTGGCCGTGTGCGTGATCGTGAACTGGTCGTGTGCGTAATCGTGTAATGATCGTGAAACTAGCCGTGTGCGTGATCGTGAACTGGTCAGTAGTAACGTATGTCCATCCTTAGGGTCAGGTTAATTTATTCATGAATTACATATTCATATATTCCTGTTACCATAGCAAATCACCGGAAACGGAAACGAATGGGGTGACGGATCGCCCAAGGGGAAGGCGGGAACGGGTGACGTAACGGGTGACGTAAGTGGGGATTTTGATTTTGATTTTAGTTTTTCGATTTTGCTTGAAAAAGTATAAGGTCCCGCGAGCTGGGTTTGAACCAGCAACCTTCGGAACTATAGTCCGACGCTCTACACGTTGAGCTACCGCGAGCACTTACTTAGGGAGGTGTTTAAAAAAGGTAGTCAAGACGTGGGGTTTGAGGTTAACGGTTTTTAATAGGAGGGGTATTCATGACATTTACATGTACAGGTGTTACATGAGCAAACACAGGTATGCCCCTTAGAGGTCATCCATCGGTCACGACTTTCTTTGATGTATTTCTTGCGTTGTTCCCTGCGCTCTTCTACTTTGCGCTTTTCTTCCTTTTGCTCGTACGTGCGGAGGGCATCGTTGGAAACCTTGATCTTCCATTGGGCATACGCTTCAATGAGGCTGGGATCGCCAGAGTGAATGTGAGGTCCTTGAGGAGGATTGACCATGGCAAAGGTATAGGTATTCCAGGCAGGGAGAAAGCTTATGCGTCGTAGGATGCCATGATTGGTGACGAGGACTTTGCCAATGCCTCGAGCRAGGTCGTTGGCTATTTCCTTGGGAGTATCGGGGCTGTGGATGAGGTAKYKCTTGTGGGTTTCAGAATGAACGAACCACTTGGCGCTTTCCTCTTCTTCGAGGGTGGGTCTGGGTTTTGCTTTGGAGAGGTCGCTCCCACGAACTTTGATGAGACTGGCCTTGACTTGGTCGTCGAC